GCGGCGGCAGGACCAGCCTGGGGCTGGTCCAAAGGCCTTGGGGGGCCGTAACCAGCCCCCGGACCTTAGGTTGCCTACTCCTGACCTAGAGATTCCTAGATAGAGCATATTAATCAAACCCACGAATAATCAATTCTGCAAAAATCAAAGCTGCAAATGAGAAGGGTCATTTTTTGGACAGAATGCATTAGCATTTGAGCTCCCCCACCTCCATCAGCTGTCAAGCCCAGAGGGGAGGACTTCTGCTGGTGTTGGTTACCAGTGAAGAGGCAATTCAGATTATGAAGATGCAGCTGCTCTAGACTCCCAGGGGAAGGAAAGGAAGGACTGCGCTCCATTTGTGGGTGCACTCTCATTTCTTCTCCCCTCCAAGCTGAGAGCAGCTGCTTATTCATCATCTCAGTTGCCTTACCCTTCCCTCCCCTGCCAAATGGGAAGCAGCAACCACCTTCTCATGGTTTGGCTGCTGCTGGGATGCAGAGGGGGAAAGGACACAGAACTATGCAGGTGGGACATTATGCTCCACCTGCTCAATGAGGGATCTGGACCACTATCTACACTGAGGGTGCATCTATACTGTGGAAATAATTCAGTTTGACACCACTTTGCTATGGCTTCATCCTATGGTATCCTAGGATTTGTAGTTTTACAAGGTCTTTGGCCTTCTTTGCCAAAGAGTGCTGGCGGCCCACGAAACAACAAATCCTAGGATTCTGTAGGATAGAGCCATGGCAGTTAGTTGTGTCAAACTGCATTGCTTTACAGTGTAGATGCACCCTAAGAGATAATGAAACACATACTTTCCCAGCATTCCATATTTTTATAGAGCCAAAGGTTCTAAAAATATTTTTTGTAAAATATGTTTTAATATGCTGAATTATTTAGAAAGTGAAGACCTCTCTCTAAATGTTGAGGCCATTCATATCAATGGCACATTAGCTATGCCAGAAACCCCATTGATTTCAGTAAGCATTAAGTGCAATGAACTTAATTTAACCTGTGGATTTTAATAATATACTGTATTCTAAGTTTTCTTCACCATTAAATTCGTCTTTTTCTTGCAGAATAGAGAGTGCTTGTGTAATAGGACATGGGGTGAAATAATCTGGCAGTACCAGAAATTTTATTAACCCTCCCAATAACAACTATATTCTTTTTGAAGACTGTTTTCATCAGCTTCAAGAATCACAAGCTAAATAAAATACAGTGAGTCTCAAGAGTTATGCATGTGGGAAACACTATGCTAGACAATTTGATAAAAAGCAACAGGAAGTTGTATCCTATGCAATTCCCACGCTCTTCCAGATAAACAGGAGATAATCTGCAGGAGAACTCTCTCTCTTGGCTGTGAATGCAACATTTGAAGATGCTTGTTGTCCATTCCCTGGGAAGCCCTATTAAGCATTTATAATTTAATTTTAGCCATCCAAATGAAACAATCAACTTATCCTGAAACTAATTCGACCCAAAATTTTAATTTCTTCAGCATTAGTTGTTTCTTACTCTTCCACAGGATATTTTGAACATCTAATCATTTAAAACCTACCCTCACTAAAATATTCTGTCGGTCATTTCTGTGTGTTAACATACATGATTCCACAGTGTAGTACCGTATTTTTCGGCATATAAGACGCTCCGGCATATAAGACAC